TTCAAAAGCAGATTGTGGAGACATTTTAATCAAAAATTGTGATATAGCACACCCTTAGTGGTAGCACAAAAATATTTGCTCTGATTTCAATCAATTTATGTTTAAAAAAAGGCAAAACATTTAATTTGAAATCTGTTCATAACTTAATTATAAATTAAAAAGTTGCTACCTGAATAATAAGACTATCGCCCCCTAGAGTGCTGAGGTTTGTTAACACCATAGTAATGCATGAACACACTGATTATGTACATTGATTATTTTTCTTAGCCAAACAAAACCATACAGAGTCAATAACAATAACTGTACCACAATGTATGGCGAAAATTATAAGTTTGAAGAATGTCAAAAACTTAAACTTACTGTTTTCCACAGCAGTGTGACGGTGCGATTGGGATGGTCCCTGATTTGTCTCCACAGATCTATGGTCACTAGAGGCTCTGCAGAAAAAAAGAAGAAAAACTGATTTATATATAGTATCTATATTTTTGCATTTTCTTGCTGTGGTCTTCTGAGTGTTTATTGTGAATTCTCCCACGACCCTTTGCTTACCTGTGATGAATAGTCTTTGTGTTGTCCATCGGCCCCAGTCGTTCCCCTGTACTGCACAGCGCCCTCTAATGGAGTACTCCGTGCTGGGCTTCAGGTGCTGTAGTTTGAATGCGTAATACAGCATTGAGTCAGATCCATTCTGATCTAAAACCTGTAAGACAACAACAACACTTGAACACAGGATGTGCTCCAGCACTTCTGTAAAGTTCATTTTGTTTATCTGATATGGCAAGTCTTTTGATGAGAGATTTCACACTGTTAATCAAGCTTATGAAACTCCCTCTTGTCATATTTCTGATGCCATCACATTATTTGGAAATACAAAAACATGTTATGCAACAGGAAAACCACCTTAAAGAAAGAGGGTTTTGCTGAAAATTTACCCACCGTCAGGCCATCCAAGATGTCAATGCATTTGTTTTTTCATCTTAATAGATTTGGATACATTTATCATTACATTACTTGCTCACTAATAGATCCTCTGCAGTGAATGGGTGCCGCCAGTAATCCACACCACTCCAGTCCATCAGTTAACATTTTGTGAAGTGAAAAACTGCATGTTTGTAAGAAACAAATCCATCGTTAAGGCACTTTAAACTGTTGCTTCTGGCCAAAATACGAGTTCATAATCCATATTTGAACTGTTTTGAACCATTTGACTGTGCTTGATCTGTGCATATTTCTCTCCTGATTCAGAGAAGATGACATTTTCACTGGAGAAACCAGTATTATGGATAGAGGCCTCATATTTTATCCAGAAACCACAGTTAAAAACTTCTTAATGAGGGATTTGTTTCTTACAAACACACAGCTTTTCACTGTTGACACTAATTGATGGACTGGATTATTGTGATGTCTTTATCAGCTGTTTGGACTCTCATGCTGACGGCACCCATTCACTGCAGAGGATCCACTGGTGAGCAAGTGATAAAATACTACATTTCTCCAAATCTGTTACGATGAACAACAAACTCATCTACATCTTGGATGGCCTGAGGGTTAAACTGTCAGCAAATTTTCATTTTTGGCTGAACTATACCTTTAATGTGATGCATTACCTGTTTTATCCCTTCTGGTTCAAGTTCAATCTGGCAAATCAGCAGAAGTCCTTTGAAACACCCATTCAGCTGCAAGATCACCAATGAATCAAACACGCCTGCTGTCACTTCAGGATGCTCAGGGACTGGAAAAACTGAGGTGAGATCAAATGGATGAGAAATTAAATGGATTGTTAACTTATGTATTTAGTCATTATTCATTTTCATGTTGTGGACAACACGATTATTTAAAGCAACTTGCATTGCACTTTTTATAAGGACAATGTCCCTGATTTAAAGAATCTTGATCTAGGGTATAATGGTGATAGTTCATATAGGATTTCAACTTACAACCTTTTGTTTATGATCTATCCCAGATCTTAAAACTATTCCACATCACTGAGGTATATGATCCTTCAAAGCTGCTATGAATTTAGTCTTCACGTAAAATGAACCATATTCACCTCTGTCTGTGATATTGAATACGTAGGTCTCACTCTCTTGCCCCAAACTATTTGTCACAAGTAATGTGGTGTTGTAGGTGATCTGCTGTTGGATGACATCAAAACCACAGGATGCATGATCTGTGCTCTCCACATTACAGCCGACAGCCTTTGAGTCACTGAATGCGAGGAGAAAATGGCATTAGATTGAACTCGTAATGAGTCAAAATTAAAATAAGTGTGACCCCGCTGAACACAGTTAACGGGATTGTTCAACAACAACAAAAAAGACAATTCAATCATCAATAATGTACTCTCTAGTCATTTCGAACCTATATGACCTTCTTATGAACCCAAGCAAAGATATTTTGAAAAATGAAATGACATTTTTTTTTGTGTGTGTTTTTTTCCTGCCCTTAAAATGAAAGTCAATAGGCTCCAGTGTTGTTTGAATCCCAAAAGTTCTTTGAAATTTCTTCTACAGAAGAAAGTACCAGTTTGGAACAATATGAGGATAAGTAAATGATGACAGAATTTCCATTTTTGGGTGGACTATCCCTTTAAGAGCAGTGATTAATATTCATTAATGAATATTAATGAATGTCTTGTAGCATTGCAGTGAATCTCTTTGTACTTTTGTCTAATTTGCATGTTCCTTTCTTAAAACCCTAGGCAGGTGTTTCAGAGACGTTTTAAAATATTATGCCATTGGTTCATTTCCAATGAAAATCACTAGACAGCCTGACTATGACAGAGATAGGTGATATAGGGCATGACCACACTTGTGGTCTTGGCCTCTTCAGTGCATGTGCATGCAACAGGAAGTAAGTGCACAAGACTTAACGCACACTGAAAACACACTATCTTGAATGCCGCTTTGAAGTGGTATTCGAGGGTAAGTATCCCATCATGCATCATGATCTGGAAATACATCGTGAGACTTTTTGATGAGATCTTGTGGGATGTCGCAAGAAATCTTTCCAGTGTAAGTTAAATATTAATAATAATAATTAGATGGGCTATTGCATATAGGTAGTAGATGTAAAGTGTTGCACATTTTATTGGTGCGAAGATAAGTATTTTTATGTTGTACAACCTTTGCAACTGCTCTTTATCACTTAATTAGCACCAAAATTACTCAATTGTTTCATCTGTTATAGAGACTACTGAACAGACATTCAAAAATCTAAATAAAGCTCTGTAAACACTTGCATTTTTACAACACTATAAGTGTGTCTCATCAGATAATGAAAAGTTTGACACACACTTGTGGTCTTCGTGCCCACTTGAACACTTGGGCCAAATACAGGAAATATGTCATGTAAGTGGACAAGTGGTCAAGTGCAAACACTGCAAGTGTGGGTATTTGGACAGGCCCAAAATCAGACTAACCTGATTAGTAATGTGTACTGCCTTCTCTGGTCGCCTTCTAGGTTAGGAGCTCTGTGTATTTCCCACGAGCAGACAACGAGTCTCATGTCTTCAGTCTCACATCTAAAATCGAATGGTTTCTCTGGAGGAACTGAACAAGGTTTAGCAGAAAACTCCCATCATGCTTAGAAGAAAACGTTTATAATAGATTACTGTTGCATGTTTTTTTTTTGTACTTTATATTTTAAAGCCCCGTTCACACCAAGAACGATAACTTTAACGATAACGATATTAGTGTCCACACCAGCGACCGATAGGCCTATTGTCTTTTGTTTATTTTAAATTCTCGAACTCATTACAGCAGGATGGATTCTGATTGTCTGTCAAAAAAATTGTTTTGAACGTGATTCCAACGATATCGTTTCTCTTTATCGTTATAGTTGTGGTGTGGACTCTGCTATTCTCTAATATTGAGAACGATTTTTAGAACTAAATCTTTATCGTTATCTTTATAATTATCATCCTTGGTGTGAACGGGCCTTAATTCAGTATAAATTTTTTTCTTTCAAAGATCAGTTTTTCAAAATAAAACCACTTTCTTTGATTTTTTTTTTTTTTTTTATCTAATTCACTGGTGTGGAGAAATATCTCATATCACTGTTTTAACTTCCAAAGGGTCTGCAGGATGACTTAAAGGGGTCATATGATGCGATTTAAATTTTTCCTTTCTCTTTGGAGTGTTACAAGCTCTTGGTGCTAAATATTTTTTTTTACTTATATATTTTACAGTAACTTTTGATTCATTGAAATGATATAATGCCAAAAAAAAAAGAATTAAAGTGTAACCTGAGACTTTTGGAATCACTAAATTAATTGATTAATTCAGTTAGTATATTGAGGCGAATTAAGTAATAAATATCCAGACCAAGCACGTAAAGATATATATA